CACTTTCTATATCATACTAAACTTACGCTGTCAAATAGTTCCGCTTGTGAACAGACACTAAGCTAGTGGACCGACATTTTAATTCTTAAATCTGTCGAAACCACACAGTATGCTTTGCGACTTTTAGAGTATAACTTTTGGAGTATAACAGGTTTTTCCACTTCGATAGGGATTGGATGTTACTATACTCAATAGTTCATGGTGTAACTTGATTGTTGACGTGACAAGGCATGACCTGACGTACCAAAACTTTTAATTTGAATGAAATTTTCAATATATTCATTTTGCATTATCTATTTTGAACTACATACATGTATTATGGTAAGAATGCCAGCTCTTATTGAAATATTACATAATGTATCTTTAACCTCTATTTTGGTATGTTCAGACTTTAATCATGAATAATATTCATAATTGAATCTATGATTACCGGTAATAGAAAACTGTTGAACTTGTATGATAGTGCCCATACTGACTTTTACAGGATTGATGGAATAACAATCAACATTAAGACTTCACAATTGATTTTAATTCTTTACTTCTCTCAATAATATACCAAAAAGTCCTAATTCTGAATCTACATTTATTCTCCAATACTTCACTGGAAATCCTCATTTTCACTTGCGCTGTGGGTTCTACTCTATGCTTGAATGCAGGCATTTAGAGATTATATGAAAACTACAGGAAAATCTGAAAGCAACCTGTCCTACAAATTTTAGTTATAAATCTAAAAATACTGCCATTATATGAATACAGCCAGCCATCAATTAACAAAGTTTGCCGTTGGCATAAGGATTTCCAGTCTTATATTTTCAAAAAAATATTCAATTTGCACCAGATGACCTAATCAAGCTTAAGGGAACAAATATTTAAAATGCAAAACTATTAAAAATTGTATTTAAAAAAATTGTAACTTATCAGTAATAGGTTGTCATCTAATAGACAGGGCAACATTAGTCATTACACCCCAGCAACTGGCAACAGTGAATGAGGCTAATATCTAACTGTGGGTTGGTTTTTTTTTCACAACTTTCAAGTGAATATATGTAAACAATGGTAAGGTTATGTTTAGTAAAGTATGTTTCTATGTACATACATTATGTTTAAAAGTGTTACAGTGGTGACAGATTAAACTAAGTAATCAAATGCATACTGAAAAGCTATCATGATGACATTTGTACTACAGGTATGGTCATTACTTTACTGTAGCTTCTGCTTTTGATCCCTATAAATAGATATTACGTCTGAGGTTCAGATATCAAAACCAAGTAATTTTGTTTGATTACATTATGTGGTGACAAAGTACTATAATTAAATATATGTTAACACCAAATATAAGACAGATGCGAAAATCATATTGCTGCCTGTCTGTTCATATTATTCAATGAAAAAAACAGTTCTGTTGTGAACTGACCGACAGGCTTCCACATTTTTTACAGAGGTTTAACCTGATTCAGAAAAATCAGGCAAGTACATAATAATAATCTATTTATTTATAAAGCACTGAATATCCAAAAAACGAATGTTGCTCAAGAGTTCTATATCATAGTGTAGTGAAGTATTAATAGTACCCTGCTACAGGAGGATGCAACTGTGATCAGTAAAAAAAAATAGACATTTGTAATTTTCTGCCGCACTGGTTTTAATTGCCTAAGCAGTAATATGGTTTACCTATTAACCTGCTCCCTTTGTAAAAAAAACAATACGTAGGAGAAAGCAAACGTGTCTTTTCAAAAAGAATAAAGGAACACTACGTAGATATCAGACACAATAGACCCAAACCGGTCGCAATACACTTCAATTTAAATGGACATATACGAGTAGAAATGTTTAGATTAAAATTATAGAGCTTTTTAACACTGACCCAGATAATGGCAAAAAACGATGCCATAAGAAAAGCCAATGAATTCAAATGGATTCACACTTGAAGAACTTTCACACCGGATGGCATTAACGATAAGATGTAGTCCCGAAGGGTCCCCCACTTTATTGTTTACTCTCGACATTTGTAAGGTCAGTGGTATTAGGCTTATATTATGCTTTCATTTTTATACGCCCACATTGAAATGTGGTTGTACATTGCTTGTGGATGCTCTACGGGCTAAAGTTAATATCCAGTTGACTTTATATTTATACACAATGTTTAAGATCATCAGACGAAAAAGCCTATTGATTTTCAACGATTTCCGATAATTACTGCCAGAGTTATGGTCCTTGATCACTTTTAAATATCTTGTGGACACTCTAGACGCTAAAGTTAATATCTGATTTTAAATTTATATACAGTGTTTAAGGTCATTAGATGAAGAATCCTATTGATTTTCAACGATCTGATAATTACTGCCAGGGTTATTGCCCTTATTCCCTTTAAAATATATGGACGGTCTGGACACTAAAGTTAATATCCGATTGACTTTAAAATTATACACAGTGTTTAATTAAGGTCGTAAGACGAAGAAGTCTATTGTTTTTCAACGATTTCAGATAATCACTGCCGGAGTTATGTCCCTTGATTTTTGATCACTTTGAAATATCCTGTGGATGATTTAGACACTAAAGTTAATATTTAGTGTTTAACGTCATGAGTTGAAGAAGCCTGGTGATTTTCAACGATTTCCGATAATTACTGCCAGAGTTATGGCCCTTGATCACTTTTAAATATCTTGTGGATGCTGTAGAGGTTGTTTATCAGATTTTAGTATGTTGTAAATGTTTCCATTACTTTCCATTTCTTAAATTTTCTTAAATCATTAATATGGGTCAAACATTTTTATTTTTGATTTTATTGGATTTGTTTCGTGTCTGTAAATTTTACATCTATAGAAATATCTAATGTTGTAACCAATTTTGTGTTCCACTGTTGGCATAATATGCTAAAAATAAAATAAAATTGTTAAACAAACCAACATCTGCTGGAGATCTTTTGTAACAAAATATAACCAACTAGTCCCATCAATAATAGAAATGACACATGAGATCAAACCAATTCAGTACTTTATTATGTTGTAAATCAAAGAAAGATGATCTAATCGATTATTGTGTGTTCATTTACAGAAAGGGCACATTGAATACATGAGCTGAAGAGAATCTTTCAACACAAGTAATTCTCATTGTTAGTATAAATCTTTTGATTGATTACTGTCATCTGTGCATGACTTTTTATTCCCTTCCAAAAATACTCAAGTAATTAAGATTATTATCATGATAAGAAGAATAATAAGTTATGTTGTTTTTTCTCATCAGTGATTGGCAACTATTTGATTTTAAAGGGACATTGCACTAACTGAAACATGATTCAAAGTAAACTTAATAATAGTAATTGATAGAATATTGCAATGTAAAATTAAAGTAGCATTAAAATCTATTAGAATCGAGAATTGGGAAATGAATGAGATGGGGTAAAACGTCCTCCTTTTCTGCACCAATCAGGCTAATGAAGATGTGCATACACCATGCAGTGACAAGTGTGCTTTGAAAGAAATTTTGCCCAGACAGTGGTGTTTCCACCTACTATTCATTGAATTGCAACTAGCTACAATTAGGGTTCTTTTACGTGTATGCTAACAGATACTGAGGACCTTGATTTGTTGAACCATCCAAACCACTGGATGATGTTTCTTACCAGGTCATTGGTCCTGCACTATTGACAATCAAGAAATTTTCTTGACTAACAAGGATCAAATCCGGGACCTCATTGTTAATTAGCCTTTGCCATACACACTCAGCTACTGTGACCCTCAAGAAAATTGGGAATATCAGGTGTATGAATTAATGCCACAGAGTTTTGAAATAGAGTGGTAATTCCTCTTGTATTACCGATAGTAAACAATACCAGTGACCTCATTACCCTATTGATTGATTAATGGTAATTTTAAACTGATGAGAGAATTTTTTATTTTATATGATGAGACCTGATCTATTTGAGAATCAATTTAGCATTAGAAACATTAATTCTACAACCTATGACATCATTCACACAAGCCTATTTATCACCCTGGCAACTACGGACAGATCTATAACCATTTATTTTGTAAATTAACCAGATTCCTGTTACATTCAGGAGTCAGAAAAACAAACTTGTTGCTGCAAACATGATGGAAAACATAGTTTAGACATATAATACATCTGATAAAGAAGATTTCTAGTGCTCTGTTGATTTGTTGCTTTAACTTTTGGAAAAAAAACAAAAATGAGAAACATTCTTCAGTAGGCGAAGTGGGAAAAAAAGGCGAGGAAAAAAATGAGAGAAAGTTAATTGAAATTTATTACAAAATTTTAGACATCCGCTACCATTTAAAATATAAAAAAAAGGTGTTAAATTTATTTTTAGTGTGTAGGCTACTGTACAGATCTGGTTTGGAAGGATAACTTGACATAAAGTAACAAATATTTGTGAATATTGGCAACCATTGATAAATTTGTATTATATTCTGATTTCATGGCAGATTACCGATCAGAATGGTACATGAATAATTGAACATTTATCAAGGCCATCTTCAGTAAATTTAAAGGGCATAAAGCTCTAGTTCAATATTTTCCAGAGTCGCAAGTAAAAATTATTAGTCTATTCCAATCAATATTGATGTTATCTTACCATGAAAATATAGACTCCTTAGATCAGATTTAAGACACAGTGAACGATTTTAAAACCAGTACACACCAGCGTGCACTCTATGCTCTTGAGCACAATTTGTAATGAGTTGATGAACGAGTCTAAACATCAGTGCAGAAATGAAATGTCGAAGATTCCAAAGAATAGAGATTTAACTACTTTAAAAAAATTACTGCAACAATTAAATATTATTTATATACATAGTGTTAATTTTCATTACATGCATGTATCAATGTAACTTTGTAAAACACAAACTTTTTATTATTTACTCCTCAAAATCGGAGGGGGGGTGGAGGGCGGAATGGTTAGCACTTGTAGCTGTATTATAATATCTGTCATTGAGTCAACTGGCGTGTTAATTGTAGGTTGATTTATTTATGTTTTTCAGGAAACAGCCAATGACGATATGACAGAAGTTGAGTTAGCAAACAATTTGGAAGATTTTGCCAACACAGGGCGTGCAGGGCGACGAAATGCTATGCCAAATGTATTAGATCCAGTAAATGCAGCTGTTGAAACCGGCAGTCTTCCCTTTGAATTAGATAAATTAAAATGCTCAGGTATTGTAGACCTTGATATAGTTTATGTTATTTGTATTCATGTTTTAAACATTCATTATGCAAGAGCTAAATTGCCTATTGCAGGTCTTGCTTTAGGCCTGAAATGTTATCTAAATTATTAATTAACATTATGCAAGAGCTAAATCTGCCTATTGCAGGTCTTGCGTTAGGCCTGAAATGTTATCTAAATAATTATTAATTAGACATTAATTAACTTATCCAGACCATAATCAACTCTCGATGTCATCGCTAGTCTGCGATATTTATTGGATTTGAATCCGATCTGCTGCTCAACGCTGATTGATAATTAAATCAAAAAATGGATAATCGACAATATGATTTTTATCGTACCGACTTTTGTAATGATGATAAAGGCAAGGCCTAAAATTCAATCGCTAAATTCTCCTTTCAGAGTGGATCATTTTGACTGAAATTTTCAGGAAATTCCCTTTATATTATCTAGTTGTAACTCTCCTCTTTTCGAAGAAAGCAGGGGACTATTAAAATGGGTTCATTCGTCTGTCTGTCCATCACACTTTTTGGGACACAATAACTCTCCTTCTAATTGACCTAGAATATTTAAACATGAATTGATGGAGTTCAAGATGAGCATATTCTGCTTAGGGTAAGCAGAGATAAGCAATTTGATTGGTTGATGCTTTGGGACACGATAACTTTAGTTCTAATTAAACATACATTATGCAAGAGCTAAATCTGTCTATTGCAGGTCTTTCTTTAGGCCTGAAATGTTATCTAAATTATTAATTAGACATTAATTAACTGATCCAGACCATAATCAACTCTAGATGGCAACGCTAGCCTGCGATCTTTAGTGGATTGTGAGCCGATTTACTGCATAACTTTCCTTCTCGATTAAACGATTAAATGGATAATCGAGACTATGCTGTTTATCGTACTGACTTTAGTAATGATGACCGAGGCTAGGCAGAAATTTCATTCGCTTAGTTCTCGGTTCATTGTGGATCAATTTGAATGAAATTTTCAGCAAATTGCCTTTACGTTATCTAGTTTTTAATTATCCACTAAATCCACTAATCAACTGAAGATCGCAGGCTAGCGATGCCATCCAGAGTTGATTATGGTCTGGATAGGTTAATTAATGTCTAATTAATAATTTAGATAATATTTCAGGCCTAAAGAAAGAACTGCAATAGACAGATTTAGCTCTTGAATAATGTATGTTTAAACCGTTAAGTGCGTAGGTCGTTATATTTTGTCCTGGACAACTGCCACTCACTGTGTGTAGGGCATAATATAACACCTTGGAGGTATTTTCCCCAACCTATTCTTAGAACATAGTACATAGTTCTTTGTCACTTCATCAAATTAATTACACAATAGGGGGTAGTTAACGTTTTAAAAACGTCACGCTTAACGGGTTAATAGATCAATGGATGATTGGAAAAGCTTCATTTTCATTGGCTGTTTACAATACACAAGTAGAACACAACACAGTGTTAAAACCTGTCAGATGTTAAGTAAAGAATAAAGACAAAGAAATAAAATGAAAGAAGACTAAAAATAAACTGAAAACTGCCTGATTTTAATTGGATTTAAATCGATAGAGCTATTAATTCTGTAGTTATTTATCGGTTAAGTCAGTTAACTAGTATATCCAATGAAAACAAAGTATTTTAGAACACTTTTTTCGGAGTTCCTTTGGGTTTTTTTTTTAATATGCCCACATATAAAAGATGGTTTTATGATACCCATGACTTTGTTTTTAACCACATTTTCATGTGGACGTATATTGTCGTTGCCCCTGTCCGTCCGGACATCCACAATTTGTTTGTAGACACTCTACAGGTCACAATTGCTAGCCTATTTTGACGAAACTTGAAATATAGGTCTATCTCCCAAAGATCTTGGTTCCTTTCGATATTGGCATGTATCGAACCGTAACTTCACATTTTTAGCTTGTGGACATACTAGAGGTCACAATTTTGATCCGATTTTGATGAAACTTGAAATGCATGTTTATTGGGCAAATATCTTGTTTCCTGTCGATATTCGCGCATATCGGATTGTAACTTCCTGAATTATGGCCCTTGATTGTATGAAAAATCGTCTTTTTAGCTTGTGGTCCCACTAGAGGTCACAATTTATATCCGATTTAAAAAAAACTTTTTAATATATCACCGTTACACCCTAATGAATTTCATGAAAATCGGACAAAAATTGTCGGACAAAATGGCCGCCCCCTGTACACAAATAGAGTAAACATTTGGTATATCAAGGTTATGGACCTTCTAGAGGTCACAATTTTGATCCGAATTTAAAGAAATTTGTTTATAACTCAATGATCTTGGTTCCTTTTGATATTGGCGCATAAAGGATCGTAACTTCTTGAATTATGGCCCCTGATTGTACAAAAAATCGTGTTTTTAGCTTGTGGTACCTCTAGAGGTCACAATTTTTTATCCGATTTAAAAAAACGTTTTAGCATATCACTGTTACAGTAGTTACACCCTAATGATGGTTGAGTTGATGATTGAGTTCGAATTTCATGACGGAAGTAATGGTTGCCACCCCTTGTATGCAAATAGTGTAAAAATATGGTATATCAAGGTTGTGGACCCTCTAGAGGCCACAGTTTTTATCCGATTTGAATGAAACTTTAAATATATATATATGTTTTCATCATAAAAATCTTGGTTCCTCTTGATAATCACATCTGAACGTAACTTCCTGGATTATGGCCCCTGATTGGTCAAAAAATCGCATTTTTAGCTTGTGGATTCTCTAGGTCACAATTTTAAAAACCGTTTAGATATATCACCATTCCACCATAATGAAGGTTGAATTCGAATTTCGGGAAAATCGAAATGAAACTGCTCGACAAAATGGCTGCTCTTTGTATGCTTAATGTGTATAAGTAAGTAATACAATTTTTATCCGATTTTGATGAAACTTAAAACATATCCTTATATTCCAAAAATCTCAGTCTCTTTTGATATTTGCGCATTACAGACCATAACTTTCTGGATTATGGCCCCTGATTGTACAAAAATTGTTTTTGTTTTTAGCTTGTTCTCTATCCATCTCTTGCAAAATGTGAGCATATCCTGTCTGGCAGCCGCTGGTTACAATATAAATTAGTCTCTATAATAATGTACAATCTTTTGTTATTGTTACCATTGTAAATAATAATTGAATTCTATCATTTCAGATACCGAAGAAGGGAAATCAGATACAGCATGTGCTGCCCCCAACACTTCACAAAGTGGAGGTACAAACAATCCCCCGAACTCCTAGCAACTGATCCGACATAAGAACAACAACAGCAATATGATGTGAGCTAGTCGTTTAGTAAATGGGAGGTAACCCTGTTAAACAAATCCACTCTATATTTTTTTTTTGTACAAAGTGTAAAGTTTTGGTCTATCTTTAAGGTAAATATATTAATGGACAAACTTATGTCTACATATCATATTGGATCATGTGACCTAGAGTACAACATATCTCTTACTGGTGCAGTTTGGAAGTAAAAAAATTCCTAATTGTGATAAGGATTACTCTTGTGATTGTGAAACATTTCGTGATAACTGGATACATTGCCATTCAAAGTGAACAGACTTGTCACATTTCAGAAATTGGATTAATTCAGTTTGGTGGAAGAGTTTCTGTCATGGTTCATCATCATCCACTGTGCTTCAAGTAAAAAATATTTCAAATGGAAAAAATTGTCTCTTCAAAACAGATATTTTAATTCCTTTATCTTAAATTGAGCATACTGCATAATTCTTTTTTTTTTTTTTTTTAAAATAAAAGATTTTAACAACTATTGATATTTTAATTTTGGAAGAAGGTGGAAACAAATTTGTTATAATTGAAAGTAGTGTTCATTTGAAGATCCAGGGTCATTTTGGAGAAATGCAGTTCTGGACATCTTGGCTTCTTCCTGAACAAAAATTATTATTTGATATATGTCTAAACGTTTACAACCAAACAAGTCAAACAAATTGCTAAACTCATTGAAGATAGGTGTACAAATGAATGTCTAGATTTGGAATGTAATGTTCCAATTTGGAAATAACTATTAGCACATAATCTTTTCTGCTATTGTAAAAGGAATCTGTTGTTAATATTGTGTTTAAATTATATCGAAATTTGTGGCGTTGCAACAGTGTGTTCATCATTGAATGTAACATGGAAATAATGTGGAGTCGCAAATACAGTGAGAAGTAACAATAATGATAATCTCTGCTACTCTTGAAGGGAGTGTTTGCCGTTCCCTCCCTGGTTTTTCAATATTGATAAAAGGTGAAGATTGCTTGACAAGGAAAAATGGATAGCAATAATGATCACAGAAAAATCACAAATTGAGAAGCATTAATACCATTTTGTGACATGACATACATTTTAAATGAAAAAATAAGTGGTAAATGTTCATTTAGAAAATCACATTTGTGATTGATTGTGATGTGCGAATTTGTAACAATTGTGAGAATTATTGATATATACATTAAGGGACAGATTTGAATGACATTAATTTGTTTACTATATTTTGTATTATATCTGGATGATATGCATTCATGTGAGCCAGTCCAGTTGTTATTAAGTTGTGAAAATGATACAATGTATTAGAAATAATAACAATTTGATAATGTAACAATACATTGTATCTATATCATCTATCAATTTTAAATGTTATTTTGACCCTGTCCTGTGTAATTGTTATTATTTTGTGATAATGTCACACAGCACCTTAAGTTCTCCCAAAAAATATTTGTATTCTCCCCTTCCTCTTCCCCATCCCAATTTAATCTTACAATTGAGTTTAAGCTTGCAGATGTATATTTGATCAAAATATATTTAAGAGGTGGTTTTTTTTTAATAAAGAAGTTAATTGTGTAGCATCTGGGAAATAATGTCCTGGTATGTTAATTAGAACTATTTATGTTAGTGTTGCAATGGGTAAGAAAAAATCTGGATCTGGTTGAGCAAAACTAAACCTAAACTAGTTAACCTTGGGTTCCACATCGGCCGTATATGCCGGTCCAGACCGAGGGCTATGCAAAATGACCGTAACTAGATCTGACCCATCGGTCATTTTGCATGCCGTAAAAATAGCCTCTTTTTTTTAAAAAAAAAACAAAAAAACAAACAATAATCATACATGGCTATGATCGACCTCCACTATGTAACTAAAAAATTGTACGACCAATACAGAATAATGCACACATATAGAAACCACATGATTGGTGTTATGGAGTTGTATACATAGTTGTCATCAGATTATAATTTTTGGTGTACACCATGCTGACAAAGTGGTATAGACACGTGAATTCACAATACCCTACCAAGAATAAAAAACATGAAATATGAATTTATTTTGCCAAGTTTTTGTGCGTTATCAAAAATGACCGGCTGTGAAAATTTTGAAGTGAAAGCCCTGCAGTAAAATATATTATTTCAAAAAAACAATTAGGGGTACTGTTTGCTTGGGAACTACAGAAAATATAGGAACCAATCTATAAATAACTTTGCTCAGGGGCGATCCAGGATTTTCAGAAAGCGGGGGATCTACCATTTTTAAGTATTTTTGTTCTCCTTTCCTGCGAGAATATATGGGGCAAAAAATTGTTCGCTACCGCAAAAAATAGGGTCTCACCCCACCCCACCCCGCCTGTGTCCTAGCCTGTTTGCTTATATTAAAGTTGATTTTCTGTCTATACAATTTTAAAAATTACAATCCATTACTACTATAGGTAAATTGAAGGCTAAATAAATACACCTTGAAACATTTTTATAGAATATTTCGATTGTCTTCTACAGCAGGTCACACTCTTAGAATGTAACAATTATATGGCAAATCTTTTTGTTGAGAAATGTATACACAACTAATTATTCTTGGAAAGCAAATTATCAGCATTGTGACCCCTATTGAGCAATTGAACATTTAAAAATGTTGCAGAAAAGTTTGTAAATATGGCTAGCTAATCATATGTTGACACCAAAGGATTTCCTTTTCAGCCACTCTAATATATAAAGGGTTTTGATTGATTTTTAGAATTCATGTCTACCAATCAAGATACTATGTATAACGGAACCAGGTAGTCTCTTTAGGCTAAGCTTGGGAAGCAGTGGTATAAACACCTAAAAAAATTTAATTAAAATGACAAAACTTGAAATGTTCCATCCATATGTATTTACAGATATGTTCCTTCAAAATTACAATTCTTAATTACATAACACTTGATTAGAGAATATAATATCCCGATATATTTGGTGGCCAAAATAATAATTCAATGGTGTTTCATCAACATATATAGTGCCCTAAACAATAAACTTTATGGTGTACTGTGAGGGTATCCTGTTTATTGCAGGTATACACATGATGGCCACCATCAAATGGGAGAGCAACATATCTGCAATTGAAAATTACAAATTATAACCCATGACTTCCTGCTCCAGCAGATATATCCTGATAATATTGTCAACTGTGGTGGTTGAAGGGATAGGATGTCTTAGACCATTATTCTCTGTCCATAATCATATTTTTCCAAGTCATAAGTACTACTGTAATATATTCTCAGTTTAGATCAGTTTGAGGTTGGAATAAATGACCTGATTAATCTTGAAGGAACATGTCTTTAAATTATAGCTCAAAATATTTTCTTTGTATGTAAAGAGTGTGCTTATATAAATTAAGTTTATTTTGGTCTCAATAAAGCAAAATGATGTGGAAATGGGCTTGTTTCAAATTTAAGAATATATATGTACATGTAGCCTACTGAATTACTATATAGAGTCGTGTACAAGGCAGGGTATACTTTCCGATATGTGAGTATTTGGGTGTTATAAATATAAGTATATTATACTTATATTTATAACACCCAAATACTCACATATCCAAAATCTTTTAATATATGCCCAGATTTGAATGTGGTCATGTGTGGCTGTCATCCATCTGTCTATCAATAATTCCATATGCAAATGCTAGGGTCACTTTTTAATGAGAGGAAGCAGCCCAAACAAAACAAATATGTATGATTTCTGATTATGACACCGATGATTCTGCAGGAAATGTATATTTGGTACATTAACGAAGCACAGAAATGTGTAACATCTTGTAATTGCTGCCTAGTTATGAGTAAAGGAACTTGTGAGCAAGGTCACTGAAGTCCAGGCAAAAAGTTAGCAAAAGTCAAAACTATATATTATTGTGAAAAAATGACAGTGCTTTGATCAACTGATTGTATCAGAGATAGGAATAATTAATTAGATAACACTCAATTAAGGGAAGCCCTCGGCCTAACGGCTTTCATGCATTCTTTTACCGGGTAATTTATCGCTACAAACAGCAGAATACCGTTCTTTGTTAATCAAACATTAACCCATCAAAGTCAGGAAATGTCATTTCAGACATGGGACTTCTTTAGGTATCAATGCCCTGCAATGTTATTGAATTTGATCATCTTTGTGGTGAATTAATTGTGCCACGTCATGTACAGCTAAACCTTATTATGTCCATATTTTCGTTTAAGAAAAAAAACCCAGGTACTTGTGATCATTTGAATACCTTTAGAAGAGTGAAAATTGTAATGGTTTGATAGACCAAAACTAAAAGGAATCTCTTATTAGTGCTCTTTGAAATAGTAACCATGTTGACTGTCTAAAAGCTAACAAACCACGGAAATTAGTCCCTGGATGTATAATATTTACGTCAAATATTCATACCTATCCAGCTGCATGTAGTAGGTTAGAACTAAACTTGATTCTGAGCAATCTCTTAATGCATCGCTTTCGAAATCATTGAATTTAGATCTTTGCACCAAACTATCTCCGTCCTATTAAAATGCATAATTTCGAAACAGAGCACCTTTTAAGCCCAACACTCTACTTTGCACGGATCTGACAGTGACCTTATATCAAAAATTGAATTAATTTGAATGGATGTGCAACATGTACAACGTCGCTTTCTCGTTTTTAAGCCGCCAATTCGCTGTTTTTTGTAATACAAATAATTCTTTCTTTTAATTCATGTTTTTGTGTGTTGCTTTTTATAAAAGCATTTTTGTTTTTCGACTTTAAAGTTAAAAGCCTTTTGGATGTTGAAATAAATTTTTTAAAACAGAATGGTGCATTTGTAATGATTTTCAACAGGTGATTTCGATTCAGGTCTGGGGAAGCAGGATAGTCCAGTCAACCCCCCAAAAATCGCAAGAAAAGTTTTTTTGATGGTTATTGGTAGCTTTGGGTGTACAGAATGACATCCTAGAAGTTTACAAAAAGTGAAGTACTGGAAAGTCACAAATTTGAGGGTAAAGTTCAGGTTTATAAGCCAGTCAGACAAACACAAAGTCGTCAATTTTTGAGAGAAATACATGAAACTGGCGCCACGCATTAGGTTTTCAGGGTCAAACTTTTTTATGACATGGTTTTCATAGATGCCCGGTGCTTTCTTGCGCCATTTTCGGGTAATTCATTAACCCAGAAACCTGCTGCCCTGAATCCAGATTTACAAAGGGGCATAACCCTGCACTGTTTTATCATAAAACAGCAATTTTGGTCTTTAAATTAATGTTTTTATGGCCATTCTTTCCTTTGTTTCCTTTGAAGATATGCCCAGTGGTTTTTAGTGGTTCCTTATACCACTTTCGGGGAATCCCCTACCCCAAAACATGTTGACGTGAACACAAATTTAAGTATATTCGTAAATCTGCACTACGTCATTACTTATTGGCATATTTGGTATGTAGTCTATATGTTTTGAAGCCCTACCTCCAAAAACCCGATGTCCTGCACGTTGAGTGAAGCAAGACCCGAAAATTTATTTGTTCTTCATAGAATGAAGTGTGGTGCCTTCAATATGATTTCTAAGACACATGGGTGTGCTTTTCATTAACTGAGCAACTTTTGCTAAAATAAGCGACAATCTCAGTTTGCTGCATGGTTAGGGTTATACATTCACAGAACCTCAAAGTAAGGCCAGTAGCGGATCTAGAAGCTGTGAATATTGGAGGGGCGGTTCCAAATCTAGGACGTCATCCATAATCTCACCCCACAATGAATACATACATGTAGATCGTATTGCCTATATACATGTAGTCGCCGGAAAGCAGTGTTATTCAAGTTGACATAAATTTCATGTCATATTATGATTGTTATTGATTTTGTTATTAATTTTTTTGTGAACCTTGGGAGCAGTGGCTGAAGGGGAGTTCATTTTGAAAAATTGAGTGAATGTCCTGGCTTTTTAGATCATTGCTGGTGCAAATTCTTGTGAACTGAGAGGATCAAAAGCGGCAGTCAATGGGACAGAATCTGCAAGATCAGCCTGTTAATTTCACCTGATTTGTGAGAGTTCATAGACCAGTAGTACAGTCTGTCGCCCCACGAACTGTGCACTAGTGTTACTAACTCGGTGGTTTACTATAACCGGAAATAAGATAGTGATGCGACAGTATAAGACCACAGAGGAGTGGAAGAATGATGTCATTACAGAATTGAGGGCCCTAGTTGTGAAAATCTATCAGATAGCAATGTATAATATATAACTGAGCTTTTAATTATTTGGGACTGGGCCTGAAAATTTTAGTCAATTCACTGGCATTTGAGTTCATTTATTGAAGCAAATTCTTGTGATCGAGGGGATAGGAAATGGGACATCTGATTTGTGAGAGTTGACAGATGACCTCATGGAATCGAGCGCCGCAGTCGTTGAACAAATTTCAGACAGCGATAAGATAGTATAGGACCATAGAGGGGTGGAAGAATGATGTCAGTGAAATCAAGCTTTTAAATTTTTTAGACTGGGTCTGGGGGACTTTGTCTCACGGGGGGGGGGGGTGCTTACTTGGTCTCATGGGGCACCCGTCCCCCTGAAATATTAACCTGTGACACTATGCTGGGTCTGGGTACAACTTGACGCTGCGATCAATGAATAACACTCTGTTTTTATATAATACAGGAAACTACAACCTCTATGATGGTACATGATAAATTACATATAGGTTCTCTATCCCTTCTAGCGTGATATGTGGCGAGAGCCATTCCGGCCTCTGTGTGATGTCTCATCTGGGAACCTCGAGTGATCTCTCTCTAAAACTTAAAGCTCGCGTGTTCCTTATAAAGAGGATACGTCCATGAGTCATGTACGTCCCCTGGGAAATTGGCCAGGTGCTTCCTTTGTCTGATTGGGCAGTTGCACAGAAACTACCCTGGATTTGAACACCATGATCTAATATGGGCACCAAGGAGGAGGAGCGGATGACGGGTGTCCACTTTTCTAAAGCGTGGGATTCCATAATTGGACAAGTGTTTCATTAACCTTATGTTTATAAAAGATGAGCTAATTTGTACTCCAGAGACCTCCGATCTGATGCCTTATCGCAACGTACATTTAACACCTCGAGATAAATGGTGGCAGGTACATCATTAACATAAGAGGATATCATTTAACACCCCATTTGTTTAACCACTTCAATATATTATACAAAACTAAAATTATTGAAATTTAGAGAACGGAAATAACCTCTACAGTGTGTATTACACACCTGGGTAAGGCCATATTAAATAAGGATGTGGTTCTTCATTTCTATTATACTGTATGGGAACCTCACTGTGTAATAATTCTTGGAAGTTTTCATGTCAAATCGCATTCCATTTATGGCACATACAGTAAAGCCATTAGTTTAAAATATGAGTTAGTATTGTTCTATAATGTTAATGGAGTTTTTTTATGTATCATATTGTACAACTAGTTAATTTTTAGAAATTATGAATCTTAAGTTTACCAACACTTGTTAATACATTATGAAATATTGACCCCCAAAACCTTACTTCAGATACCAAAGGTACTATAATATTATGATAAAACAGTGCAGGGTAAAGCCTATTCGTAAATTTGGGTTATCGGTCGCAGATAGTGGGGGGTAGGGGTTCCCATAAAAAGGTATAAGGGACCAGTTAACACCACTGGGTATATCTTTATATGACAGAATGACCTGTAAAGCATTAATTTATATGTTCATTATATATTTATAGGGTCTTTAAAACCAACCGTTTAGATTTTTGTGTGTACATTTTTCAGTGTGGTTTCCCCTTGTCAAGGAACACTCTCTGGAAGTACAGACGGGATGAAAAACAAGAGGCCCCCGTTCGCGCGTAAAAGAACCCTTGACGAAGAGGCGTAAACGCAACTTTCCGATCAAAATGTCCCTCACAGGACACTGTTATACGTCATTTCATTTCTTAACACATGTACATGTATTTTAAATGAATGTATTTGGACATAATGACCACCCAATCTGAACGACAGACTCACCCTACCTGCAGAGAAGTGACTCTGACACAGTGAATAGCCATGATATCCATATGACGTTATCTAAACGTCACAGGGCATGAGGTCACATCAACAAACAAATGGAAACACCATCATTATGATCATTATCAACATTACAAGACACAATGTTACATTGTAAACAATAGCCTTCTTGCAGCCTTTAGGACTGTATAATCCGTACAGAACGTCTTATCGCTTCTTCCAATGATTTTTCACAAAAATAACATCATCTACAACTCTTGATTTGACGTCGGCATATTGGCACTATTTTGTGCTTTGGCCATGTCTATTTCAGATATACACAATCAATTCTGTTAATGTTTTTAGCGTGGGGATTGACTAAAAGTTAATTTATTTCAGTTCTGAACAAAAATTTTAAAACTTTAACGCAATTTTAAAAAAATAGCCAAATTCTGGCTGGGATTACTGAGCAAAATGGCCATTCACTGTATACGTGCGAAAAAAAAAAAGCCAGCTACCATTTAATTTTCGTACGTTAGTTACGTACGAATGACCACCCTACCCCAGAAAGCGTCCACCTGTGTTACCATGCGCCTGGCACAATATAGCCCAGTAGGTGCTCGCGTGCCATTAAACACCATTTCATTTCATTTTCGTGCTTTTATACTTCCACATTTTTTTCAGGACGTATTATGTCGCCGCCCCTGTGCGTATGGACGTTCACATTTGATGAATAATATATGGTTATTTCCCAAAGAAATGAAATGAAATGGGGTTTAACGTCCTACTGTTCTGCTCCGAACTGGGCTAATGAAGACGGGCATACGCCATACAGTGTGCTATGAGGAATATTTCCCAAAGATCTTGGATAAGTTCGATTAAAGCACGTATGGTAACGTAACTAAATGGATTATTGTTCCTGATTATATTTCAAAGATCTCGAATGAGTTCGATTGCGGCAGGTATCATCTCGTGGATCCTCCATAGGTCGTATATTTCATTCGATCTAACGATGAATACCGGGAGGATTAGTCCTGTCATAACCCCAATGCGTTAACACTTCCCCCCCCCCCCGGCAAGGGTTTTAACCCAGTGGACGCCAATCAGAATGCTGATTATCCACAGGTCAATTTGGGATAATTTATGAGACCAAGTTTTGCTAGAGCGGTTTTTCCCTAAATTTCGATCCTAGGTGGTGATCAGGTGTTTGAGGGTGTTTTCCGAGATGCGGGGAGTGCACTGGATCCAATATCTTAAATTGGTAATGTGATAAAGTGGCTTTTGTCCGGAAAAATACCATTTGATTCCCTGACCACCCTTTCCTTCGCACCTTTCCTTCGTAACATTTTCCCAAGGGGACCTTATCCCCTTATTAAAGCTCCACAGTGCTAGAAATTAATGTTTTACTACTTTGTAAATTAATCATATATATGTACATACTTTGATAGATGGGAGACTGACATAAACCTTATCTACAAGATTGTTATTAGTTTGATAGCAACGTGTTTTCTTGTCGGAGTCGGTTTTTCCATGCTATGTTGATCTTATCCTTTGCTATGCTAGAACCCTTGACTATTATATTCTAGAAATGAAATGAAGTGGGGTTTAACGTCCCACCCTACTGCTCCAACTGGGCTAATTCGGTGAGCTATGAGGGAAATTTTGCCCGGATAGCGGCGCTATAGCTACTCTTATAATGAATCCCAACTGCTAAGCGTTCTTTTACGCGCACGCCAATATGTACACGGGACCTCGGTTATTCGCCCCGTCCAAATGATTATTATACATTGTCCTTCGTCAGACCTTCCGGGAGAATCACGTAAGTAAATCC